GACATTAGCTTTTGAAATCTATCTGCCCTTCAAGCAGAGTTTTTGAGAACAAAATTTGTTTAACCTTAAGTGTCCAGATTTAAAACCGTTCAGTGAAAAAAACCGTTCGCTTCTAACTAGAATAGACTTCTCTTCAATATCTATGGTCAAGCAAACTGCAGTCCTGAGAGAGGCTTGCAACGTTGACTTGTTCACGATAACTTCTACACAAAGAAGCCTAACTAAAACCAGTTCTCTTGGGAAGAAGGGGACTTTTTGATTCCTTCAACAAGGAGATCTGCTTTATCAAAAGGTTCCTAGTAAAAGTCACAAATCGCGAAAACTGAACAAACGAGCGGGGCGTATAATGATTTACATAACACTCATACGCCCTGCAGAACGCCATATGAAGAGAACGGAAGGGCTAAAGTTGTCTGAAATAGGTTTCAACTTCGGAATATAGTCGGTTGCGGTGCGAATGGAGCGCTAATAATATTAACAACAACAACAAGTACGTAATAAAAAAAATCAGCCATTCCATGATAAGCTGTTAATTTAGTTTGATGTATGTACAATGAATACATATTGCACACCATCTTCAAGCGAGGCACTACTCAAAAAATTTAGTTCGATTTTTTTTTCACAAATGGATTCGTAGGATTTATCTACAATTAATGTAAGTATCTTTTTATTCATAATTATATTCTATAATTATAAAACTACTGTTATACCTGTTTTTGTATTAATTGTATTGAATCTGTACTATCCACAAGCAATCGTATTTTCAGATCTTATTTTTGAGCTGTTCCTCTTTTGAAGGATGGTGTGCGATATGTGCATTTGTTTTATGTATATTATGGATAGCAAGGAAACGTGATACCATCATTTACATACACATAAAGAGCGATTGGCAATTTGTGCTGAGCTGATTGCTGAATCTGAAAGTGTGTGCTCCACTACTTAACTGTGCACATGTGTGTGTGTGTGTGTGTGTTAAAGAGTATGCAATCTGGCTACAAAATTTGGTTGCGCGAAAACCACTCATTACATTTTCATATATGGCCATAAAGAAATGTATGCCAGTTTATGCCAATTAGCTTTAGAGAGATAGGAAATTTGTAGGCAACAAACCGCATTTGTTTTTTAAGTTAAACCCTTATGAAACTTTCTACATTTTAACTTTACCGCTTGAAAATTTCATCGCAAATTTTGTGCAGCTGGTTTTGTTTGCACACCACAGCACATCATTCATTAAAGACTTGTTTCGTTTTATTTTAATAGCACATTTTATATACCACAACTCTCTCTAGTAACTGAGAGCAGCACAGCGTGAAAAGTGCTTCTAAGTAGTACCTCTTCAAATTGCAAATAGTTTAATGGGGGTTTCCGAGTACATTCTCTTGAAAATGTATGAATTTTAATCACAAGTGTGAATTTTAATTACAAGAGTAAATGCTTAATCATTTTAATGCATGCTCTCCACTTGCATGACTGTGCATATTTCTAGTGCCTTTCCTATGCCTTCTTGCTTAGTTCATATTTTATTAGTGTAAATTTGCTTTTGCCGAGCATGCTACGTAAATCCATATATGTAATACTTCTATATTGGCAGTAAGCTAACTTCTCAATGTGTAAGCATTCCGAAATCAAAGCGAGACAGTCTAGTACCGTTTTTGTCAATGTATTGTGTACATGTCTGTTTATAAACTTATGTGTTCATTTTCTTTCGTACGTGTTTATTGATATATCTGTACTGTAGTGTTTTCAGACGGTACTAGCTCATACTGCCAATATAGGAGTATTACATATATGGGTAAATCTGACAAATACTAGTGGGTAATTAAAGTTGGCACCAAATACAACATATCTGCGAAATTTGAAAAGTGTGCCACCAAATTAAAAAATATATATAGCAGAATATATTTCGCAACAATTTTGTAATTTTTGAAAATTTACGATTTTTTAACATAGTTCAAAATGCCAACATTAAACAGTGAAAATGTGCCGGCAAATGAAAAATGGATCACATTGACTTTAAGATGAAGATGATTTGCTAAACGAGAATTCTAATTTTACAATTTTTATTGGCACAATCGAAATTCGTTCTAAAATTGTTATATATATATACATTGATATATATGTATATTCTTGCAGAATGCTGTACGCAAATATTCCACGGCAATATTTAATTAAGTAAACGTGTTAGCTGGCTGTGTATGGTGCTGCGGTTATATGAGAACGAGTGGTGATTTGACTTTTTTTTAGTATATTTTTCAAGTTTTCATTTAAATACAATTTCGCAATGAAATATTTTTTTGTATGCAAAACCGGCGATAATGCACTGTCCAAGGTAAGTGTGCCATCATTTTCCACAAAAAACACGTTTTTGTAGAAAAATCTAACAAGTCGTGGTAATTTAAAAATTGGACATAAACTGTTGTCAAAAAACAACTGAGCATGTACTACAAAAAGTAATATACATTTTTGATAGTTAGTTTCGAAATGGACATAAATTTTAGAAACTAAAAATTTAAGCTGGACAAACATTTTCGATCATCTAAAAACTGTCCATCAAGTATGCAAAATTTAAAAAGCACACATAAGTTTTGGTGACCTAAAACTTGAATATTTGTAGTTTATAAAATTAAGTGAAATTAAAAAAAAAAATAATCATAAAATTTTATCAATTTCAAACTGGAGATAAATTTTCTGGCATTTAAAGACGGCGCATACATATTAAAAACTAGACATGAAATTTTGGGAATAATAAATAAAACGTAAAGTTACTAGTAATTGAAATGCTTGAAATACAGTTTGGTATTTTAAATTTGGATATGGTTTCTTAAAAATTGGAAATGGTCACATGAAAACTGGGAATATATTTTAAAAACTAAACTTAAAATTTTGGTATATTGAATCTTTTTACAAGTTAAAAAAAACTAGGAAAAAAATTTTAGCCACTTAAAACTGGGCATAAAACTTAGTAGAATAAAAATTTGACATAAATTTTGGGGACCTAAAACCTGTTACATAAGTTAAGCAATATAAGAACTGTACATAAATTTTGGTCACATAAAAACTGGATATAAATCTAAAAAGCCAAACATAAAATTTTGGTGGGTTTAATATGGGCATACATTTTAAATACTAGACATAAATATTTATCAATTTTAAGCTGGACATAAATTTGTGGTAAGTTAAAAACTGGATATAAATCAGGATGGTAAATCAGAAACTGGACATAAATTTGGTTTTTCAAAAACTGGACATACATAAATACGGCCACATTAAAAATGAAACTATATTTCGAAAACGAAACATAACATTCTGATAGCTTTAATCGGTGACTTAAAAACTGGACATAAAACTTGGTAGCACAAAAATTTGACATAAATTTGGGGGACTTAAAACATGCTACAAAAATTAGGTAGCATAAAGACTGGACATAAATTTTGGTAATTAAATCTAAAAAGCACAAATTTTTGATGGGCTTAATAATCGGCATACATTTTAAAAACTAGACATACATATTTATCAATTTTAGACTGAACATAAATTTGTGGTATTTTAAAAAGTCGATACAAAATTTGGTAAATCAGAAACTGGACATAAATTTATTTTTCCAAAAACTGGCCATAAATATGGCCATACAAAAATTTTAAATAAATTTCGAAAACAAAACACAACATTTTGATAGCTAAGCTGAGCACAAATTAGACATAAAATGTTATTAGTTTTAAACTGCACATAAATTTGCGGCCACTTGAAAACGGGGCATCAAATTTGATAACTCAAAAAACTTGGACATGAATTTTTGATCACGTAAAAGCTGGACACAAATTTTTGTTCATTCATAAGTTGGTCATTAAGGTGTTAAATTTAAGGGTTAGGGCTGTAGATGTGCAAAAAG